TAAAATACTGCTTCTTATTTCTCAAGACACTTGGTATTAGAGGACTGTTATAACTCATTATCTTAAACTTGTGTTGATCTAAGCCTCACAAAGAATCATAGATTTCATAGCTCTTGGTAAGAATAACATAAAAAACATTCATAAAAACTTCCTTTATATGTAATATTAATAACTATCAAGATCCTTGTGGCTGGAAAAATCTGAGTAGATGATATGATGCTAATAATGATTTATCTATTTCTTTTATTCATCAACAATGTCAGCTTTGGTTTCAAGCTTACATAGAAAAACTAACTGAATAAAACATTTTTTCCACACTAACTAAATATATCAAAATCTATATCTGACTAGTTATTCAATTTCCGCTAATGAACCATAAGTCACCATTTGATTTTAGCTGCAGCAGCTTCATGAGAAATCATAAAAATATAAACATAAGGATTCTGCCAGTAAACACACTTTCTTATTTATGCACAAACAATTTCAAAGCTAATCTACTTCACCTTTCAAAAAGCTTCTCTGTGATAAACAGCTGCACAGTGGCACCGATAATGAATAATAAATGCATAGATGAGGATATGCGTATACTTTTGATTTATTTGTGCCTCTGTGAAGCTTGCTGGCTCAGTATGACAAAGTGCTGGCCTCCACCTGTGCTCAGCCTTTTAAGCAGATAGCTGGAGACTGGTCTCCCACACAAACAACCCAATGGACAAGCAGAACGCTAATGGCAATTAATAACTGGTTCTATGCACATAATACACAGAGACACTGGTAGAAAAAGGTCATAAAAAAGTAATATTGATAGAAGGCAGCTTTGAACATGGCTTTAGTCACTGTATGCAAACCTACCTGCTTGGTCCTTGTCCTGCCTTCGTCTGATAAATTGAGAGTTGTGTATCTTGCCTGGCTCAGGCCACAAAACAGAACTGCCACAATACCTGTAAAACAAGCACATACATGAGAGAAAATGACAATATTGTCTGTATTATGATGGCTTTTTTGTGCTAACTCTTTGCTTTAAGCCAAAAAATGAAAATATTTACTTTAAACAGCTCATCTTTTCACTAATGACATATACGTGGTTAGTTTAAAATTTGCAAAAAACACAAACATGTCTACATGAAATCAGGTTGTGGAAAATTACTTATAGAAACTTAGACTACTTCAATAAAAACATCCATCCAGCAAGTGACAGAAGAAAAAAAACAAACAAGACAAAACAATCAATGTAATTTTAGATTAAATATTTTAGGCTAGACTTGTTGTTGAGGTTCAAAAATCCTATCATTATCAACTCATTATACAAGCTCCACCCTGTATTCATTCATTGTCTTTATTCCAAAACAATAGAGCTCAACAAACAGCTCAAACCAAAGTATGCTGTTCAACCTAAATCAAGCATCCCTTTGTCTTGAACTGAAGTCTTTTATTGCAATACTATACCAGAGGAATGCAGATTTGAGAATAAAACAACCCTGAAAATTATGTAATTATGACAGATGACGCCGGAAAAAATAGAAATGAAACTAAACACAAAGAGTAAATAAATAAAAATAGGTTGGTGTACAGAGAGAAGGAAAAGGATTAGAGTCGGTTTTAAAGCTGAAGCAAACAGCATGAAAGGTGGCTTGCTGCCTTCTGTTGCAGAGACTAAGTTTCACATTTTCCTTCCACTTTGAGTCAAACAAATGGAAAACATTGTGAAAATTACTGTGATGGGTAGCAATAGCGAGACAATGAATGTCTTCAATAAACAGAGCAAAGAGTACCTGTGGCTACATGATGGCAACACATTACTCCATCTTCACCATCCACCTTTAAACCATCATCATCCTGACCTGTATCTGCTCTGTGCAAGTTCCAGGATTATTCACAGTAGTATCAGTGTATTTAAAAAGGCAGATCTCGTACTGTTTAGTTCTTCTTTGGTTTACATAACACCAACAGAGGTCACACATTACCCTCAAATTTACAGTACATGCTGTAAGAACCCTGCTCCTCTATGAGATTAATACCAGCTTAACCCCATAAAGTCATGTTCCACAAGACCTTGCAAGAAATTTAATCAGATATAATGAAACACCCCTCTGGTCATGAATGTGAAAAGAACTTGTGACCT